TGCAGGAAAATCCAAACCTACAATCCCTAGAGACACCTCCATGATTTTTAGTATTCCAATGAACGCAGGTATTCCGTCTGGATTTAAACATTTCCCAGCATTCTTTGCAAGTCAGGCGCTGCAGCACTGGGGAAGTAGATGAGAATTAGGGACTAGGAAAAAAAAAGAGACCCATATGGGGTTGATCCACATTTCATCCGCCTCTGACTGATATATGGCAATGGAGTGACCGTGGCATAAGACTGGTATGAGAGGGGAATCAGGCCCTGGTGAATCTATTTTCACTGTCCCAGATGAGCGAAACAACACAAAAAAGGATGCAATCAGCACTAACGATGGAACATAAATGAGCGTTTTTTTTCAAATGCTTCGAGTTTCAGTAATCAAAGATGTCATTAGGGGCATGGGTAAGGGCACTGAATGTTTTTAAATATATAGGCCCAGATCCTCAACGGCTATGAATGGGGTAGCTGCACTGAAGTCAGTGGAGATGTGCTTTATGCGAACTTGAGGAGGTGGCCCCGCCCCTCTCTGGGGCCGATCCATAGTCCTTTCCATTGACTTCCGCGGGTCCTATGCACCTGGAAGTTTGGCTGCATAACTGAAGTAGCCAGACACAGAAGCAGGCTGTCTTGGGATTTCTGGTGCTTGTTTCATTCCCCGGTGCCTGTTTCATATGCTCAGAGCTGGGGTGCTGGAACGGTTTGTATAGTCGGGGGGCTGAGAGCCATTGAACCAAACTGTAAACCCTGGATATGATGGAAATCACTTCAAGCCAGAGGGTGCAGCAGCACCCCCAGCACCCCTAGTTCCAGCACCTGTGGCTCAGAGATGTCCATGGGGAGGCCAGAGTGGGCTGGGGGGGTGTTCTCTGCTTTGCCCACTGGAATTCCAAGTAGCCCTTCTCAACATTTTGCTGACTGCTGTCCCTTCTCCCCCCTCTAGACATTTATTGATATTTGCAAAAATCTCCCCAAGACCAACGTGGCCTCCTTGATCTTCGCCCTGATCAGCATTGTGCTCCTGATTATTGTGAAAGAGCTCAACATGAAATACATGAAGAAGATCCGGGTGCCCATCCCCATGGAGATTGTCATAGTAAGTGACATCCGAGCTCTGTCATCCTCTGTCCATTAGAGAGGAAACAACCTTCCCCTGAAAGAGCCTTTTCCCCTCATCTCTTCCCAGCCTTTGCAGGAAGGTGCCTCTCTAGGACAGGCAGGGAAAGGGCCTAGATTTCAAAGCACCCTTGCTTTGACACCTGATGAGGCATGATGTCGGACTCAGGACACCTGCATGGCTTGGATGCTTGGGGAAGCAGGAGGCACCGGCAGTGTCACTCTAATTAGATTTTTTTGGTTTCGGTTCGGGGGGGCTCGCACCGCTGAGCCCAGTGCACCAGTGCCTGCTTCACATGGTCATTTACACCAGGACAAAGTGGGTGTAGAACACTACACTTCTGATTTGGTTGCCTTTTACACCCTGCACTCACTTTGCCCGGGTGCACAATTCAAGGGCGACGGGACATCGGGGGCCCTGAGTTTGGCTTCAGTTTCAGAAATTCAGCAGCTCCAGAACCTCCGAGAGAAGCTGCTGACCCCACTGAATTTCATGTCAGAACGAGGGTTGGGCCTGAGTCAGAACATTTGGCTCAGGGACCCCCAAATCCCAGGTGGGTGTGTGACGGATTCAGCCACCCTGTTGTGGTTCACCGCTAAGTGAAACCATGACAAACTATCCATCTCCCCAGCCCCCACAGAGCCACAGCGGGTTAGGTTCATATCTGCAAAGGCCTTGCCAGCCGCATTCCTGCTGTGGGCTCTCTCTCAACCATAGAAGGGCTAAGCCTCCCCTCAGAGCATGTGTAGAAGGGCCACAAGCTTCCATGGGGGAGGGAGTGTTACCGAGATTTTAGGACAGGAAACTAGGGGTCAGGAACTTTGGGTTCTATTCCTCACTATCCCGGCTTGCTGCTATTTCAGGGCTCTGTCTCAGTTCTCCAAAATGGGGATGACATGACTGATCAACCTTGTCTTGTGTGGCTCCAGTAATACTCATCAAGTGCTTGGATATCCTGGGATGAAAGGGGATAGGGAAGCCCAAGTATTATTATATCCTCAAGAGGAGGAGAAACTCCCCCCTCCCTTTGTTTCTTCCTCATATTTTGGATTGCCAGTGCACTCCTTTAATGTCTGTGGGGGTAAACTAATCCGTGACATAAACGGACATAACACCCATTGAAGCGGATGGATGTTTCTCCCGCTTGATCCAGGGCTGAATTTGGCTTTACGGGTATCATTCTCGTCTGTAGTAGGCATTAGCCATTGTCTCACCATCCCGCACAGCTAAGTCCGTGCAACGCTGCATAAGGATCTGACAATGCTGCTTCCCCTTACAGCTCCTTTACTCTCTGTGATTTCAGGTCATAATAGCTACCGCGGTCTCCGGCTGCTTGAACATGCCTGAGAAATACAACATGCCAGTCGTTGGGAAGATTAAGATGGGGTAAGTGCGCGTGCAGGCTTGAATCCATTTCCAAGGGCTGATTCCTTCTGGACCAGGGATAGTCCCCTACCAGCCCGTGCTGCAATCTGGGATACAACCCCCACAGAAGTGAGGGATAACGAAGGACACTGACTGCTGAAATAGAGAACTCAGTGAAAGGGACACCATTTTATTACTGACTTTCGCCCCGTTTACTGAGGTTCCTCCGTAGCTCTCCCTGAGTGATTGCCTTGTCCTCAGCAAAATCTATGCCCCTAACAAACAGCCTCATGCAGAAAGGCGCCACTGGGCACTACGAGGGCATAGAGAGGGGTTCCACCCTGGTTCAGGTTCTGCACAAGGCAGGAGCTGAATGTGACCTTTGTCTCCAGTGGGGTATGTACAGTGACCGCAGGAGACCTGGGTTTGCGTCCCAGCTCTACCACAGCCTCCCTGAGTGACCTTGGGCAAGTCATTTTATCTTTCCAGGCCTTGGTTTCCCATCTGGGAAATGTAAAATCCTCCCTTCCTTTGTCTGTCTTATACTTTGTGTCTGTGCAGCACCCAGCACTATGGGGCAACAGTTTCTGCTGGGGCCGCTAGGCGCTACCATAATACAAGTTACTTGTAACAAGTAATAATAACTACAGCAGGGAGCGACTGTCTTTTGTGATTGGTATCCAAAGAGGGCACTAATTTGCCTGAGCATTCGTAAATCATCCTACAATATCCTAGGATAAGGACTAACCCCAGGCTGTAGCAATAGCCCTGCAGCACTGCACTCAGATACCATTGTGCAGGGTGAGGCATAAGAACCAAAATAGAACAGAATCTAGGCCAGGTTGGAGTGGAAAATGTCTCCTAATCCTTCTTTCTTTACCTGAGTCAATGCATTAGTGGATTATAAAGGGCAGCATATAATTACCAAGCTATAATTGTGCAAAGCATACAATACTGCGCTGCACAATCTTATAATTACAAGGGACACACAGCACCAGTCCTGTGTCGAAATAATAAACAAGGCTAGAGCTGGGATATTATTCAGCATGTGCAAAGCACGGTAAATTCTGTAAGCCTGGGGATCACGTTGGTATTCTTTGTAGAGATATATTCCATTTAGGTTCAATTGGAATGTTGTGTTTCAATTATTCTATCAGAGAGACAAGGTGGGAGGTAATATCTTTTCTTGGCCCAACTTCTGTTGGTGGAAGATACAAGCTTTTGAGGCACTCCGCTCTTTTTTCTTCAGTCCTGAAGCAGAGCTCTGTGTAAGCTTAAAGGCTTGTCTCTCTCCCCAACAGAAGTTGGGCCAAGAAAAAATATTACCTCCCACCTGGTCTCTCTAATATCCTGGGACCAACACAGCTACAACTGCATGTTATACTATATCATATACAATAAAAGTCAAAATGAAAAAGTTGTTTCAAAATGAGAAAGTCAAAACATGGTTTCAACCTTATCAAAATGAATCGTTTTGATCTTTTTTCAAAATGAAATTTCATCGACATTGTCTCATTCCTGTGAAATGTTTCGATTTAGTCAAATTTTCTGACTCTTCCGCTGGAAAATTTTTGAGGAGCTCTAATTCTTTGGTGTTGGTGATGCAGTTCCTGGCACTCCTCTCTCGGTCGGTTCTGAGCCAACGGCTCTGCATGGCACTAGAGGGGGCTGTGTTGCTTGGAGGTGCAGTCTTTCAGATTAAAGAGAGAGCAAAAGATGTGGTCACTTGGGATCATTTAAAATCCTCTGGCACTTTTTGCAAAAGCCCCAGCATCCTGACCAAATCCCAGCTGGAGTCCACTGACCTAAATTTCCCCCGCAGTTTCATTTGGATAGGTCATTCTTCACTCATTTTCCTGAACAGTTGCGCAGTGCTGCTGTGCACTAAACAGCTGCTGTGTTCCTCCCAGAGGTGACTGCATTTTAGTAGTGGGTGAAGTGAATCCTGTATATATAAAGTCAAATCCTTGTCCACTGGCTCCATCTCTAAACACCTATGTCCTGACAGCTTTCTCCTCTATTCTTTGGCTGCAGCTTCCCAGTCCCCACACTCCCACTGGTGAGCAAGTGGAAAGATATGGTTGGCACAGCTTTTTCACTTGCCATTGTGGGCTACGTGATCAACCTGGCCATGGGACGAACCCTGGGAACCAAACATGGCTATGATGTAGACCCCAACCAGGTAACATTTATTTAAAGGGATATAGTCAAGATCAGGGGTGGGCAAACTTTTTGGCCCAAGGGCCACATCGGGGTTGCGAAACTGTATGGAGGGCCGGGTAGGGAAGGCTGTGCTTCCCCAAACAGCCTGGCCCCTGCCCCATCCGCCCCCTCCCACTTCCCGCTCCCTGACTGCCCCCCTCAGAACCCCTGACCCATCCAACTCCCCCTGCTCCTTGTCCCCTGACCGCCCCCCCGGGACCCCACCGCCTATCCATCCCCCCCTGCTCCCTGTCCCCTGACTGCCCTGACCCCTATCCACACACCCGCCCCCTGACAGGCCCCCCTGGGGAGGGCCGCCCAGAGGATTCGGGGGCCTGGGATAAAACGGGGGAGCGGACATACTCACCGGGCAGCACTCCGAGTCTGCGGCGGCGGCGGCAGCGTGTCCTTCATTCGCTCCACGTCTTCGGCAGCACTGAAGGACCCGCCGCCAAAATGCCGCCGAAGATCCGGAGCGACTGAAGGGCCCCCCGCTGCTGAAATGCCGCCAAAGACCTGGAACGCTGCTGGGTGAGTAAAAATTAAAAAGGTGCCTCTAGCAGGGATTCTTAGCCAGGGCTCGTGGGGCCCCTGCGGGGCCTGGGGCAAATTGCCCCACTTGCCCCCCCCGGGCGGCTGTGCCCCCGGGACTCTCACGCCTATCCAACCCCCCCTGTTCCCCATCCCCTGACTGCCCCCCCCAACCTCCGCGCCATCCAACCACCCCCTGCTCCCTGTCCCCTGACTGCCCCCCGGGAACCCCTGTCCCTTATCCAACCCCCTGCCCCGCTCCCTGCCCCCTTACCATGCTGCTTAGAGCAGCAGGAGCTCGCAGCCCCGCCGCCCGGCCGGAGCCAGACACACCGCTGCGTTGCCTGGCAGGAGTGGTGGGCCAGAGCGCTGGCGGCGCGGCGAAGTGAGGCTGCGGGGGAGCGGGGACAGCAGGGGAGGGGCCGGGGGCTAGCCTCCCCGGCCGGAAGCTCAAGGGCTGTAGTTTGCCCACCTCTGGTCAAGATGCTGCTGGGTATAATGGATGTGAAAATGGAAGCCTATTTAATAAGTTGGGAGCTTTTAAACACACTCTGTTTCTTTGAAATTTGTGTCTCTCTCTCCTGCGCTCAAACTTGCATAGTGGTAGGGTTGCTCATGAATCCGGGGCTAAGTGCACTGGTTTGTTGTTGTATGCAGATTGTCTGTGGGCTAGAGGGAGATTGTACAGGATTGGGGGGAGTTTGGGGTGTGATCCCCCTGCTTTGCTTTCCCTCCACGACAGTCCCACCTCTCTCTCTCCTTCCGCCCAACTGCCCGCATCGGGAGGCCTCCTTTCCCAGGCACTCTAATATCAGTGCTCCCTGATCTGCTCGAGACCTATGCAAGGAAACAGTTGCACGTGCAACAGAAGGCACACCCCTGATCAGCACACGGCTCTCTGTTCCGGCCATGTGTTTCAGGCAGAGTGCGAAGGAGGGGAAGACTATTGCCTGTCTGACTCATGCAGAACGCACCCTTGTAAAGATGTTAGGTTCATTTGGGATTCCAAACGTTTGTTATTCCTCATTTTCCCTCCTTTTTAAAATGCCTCTGCAGCTGGTCGCAGACACAAATTAAGGCAGGATATTTGGGAACTGGGTCCAGCTATAAGCCTCACTCCAGCACTGAATCATCCAGAAGTGGTGAAACAGCTGGGGAAAGGACCTAGACCAGTGGTTCTCAAACTTTTGTACTGGTGACCCCTTTCAGACAGCAAATCTCTGAGTACGACCCCCCATTATAAATTAAAAACACTTTTTTTATATTTAACATTATTATAAATGCTGGAGGTGAAGCAGGGTTTGGGGAGGAGGCTGACAGCTTGCGACCCCCCACGTAATAACCTCATGACGCCCTGAGGGGTCCCGACCCCCAGTTTGAGAACCCCTGACCTAGACAGACAAATGACACCAGAGGAATGCGGTTTGATCTGGAAAGGAGGACTAGCAAGCACAGTCTGTAGCACAATAAAAGAAAATGTCTTTAAGATACTGTTTCAATGGTATCTCAAACCCATCAGGCTAAAAAATACATATAGATTGAATAGGGATAAATGTTGGAGAAACTGCAGTGAAAGAGGAGATTTTATGTATATGCGGTGCACGTGTCCAGTCATCAGAGAGTGCTGGATGCAAGCTGTAACCAAATATCACAAATCGTTGGCTCTCTGTTACCAAATGAACCTTTGGTAATCCTCCTGGGGCTTCCCAGCAGAAATGGTCAAACAAGAGGAAATGAAGAATTAATCTCTCATCTGCTAATAGTTGCTTGGCTGCTGAGGCCTTCAACAATGGGAGGTTGTGGTTAGGGAAACACACCAATTACGTACCTAGGAAATAGGCAGAGGACAGTTAGATACTTAGATATTTGGTTACCTTTTATTCAATACTCAGACAAAGTACATCCACCTGCAAAAAAACACTCTAGCACCTGTCCAGTTTTGGAGAGTATTAATAAAATCGCTAGAGACGACATAGTATAGGTGTTGTAATGATGCTCACTCTGTAATATGGTAACACCCTGTGAGACAGAAAGATCTGATGACTATATTCCTGTAGAATGTCTCTTTAAACAAAAGCTAACGGCTGTGATGATTGTTTTGTTTCTGATGTTTGCATGGCAAGGATTTGCCAACTTGTTAAAACTTCCTAAAGACCTAGTTTTTGTAGAGAAATCCAGCGGGTCTCTTGTTGCCAGGCACTGGCTGGAGTTGATGTGTCATCATGGGCATAATTTAGGGAATCCAGCAATGCCTCTGGGAGGAGAAGGAGCAATCCTCTGGGTGAGAAGGAGAGGCAGGAATGACTGCTGTGTGCAGGGCAGAGGCTTTGCAAAGACAGTGCCGCTCACCAAGCAGAGGAGGGGAATCCCAGTGACCTACTTCTCTCACCTCCCTTTAATTGCTGCTAGAGGACACTTAGGTGCTTCCTTCCTCCTCTGACAAACACTTTCCTCTTCTCTCCACAGGAAATGCTTGCCCTGGGCTGCAGTAACTTCTTTGGATCCTTTTTCAAAATCCATGTGATCTGCTGTGCTCTGTCTGTAACCCTAGCTGTGGACGGGGCTGGAGGAAAATCTCAGGTTATTACTTTTTTCTTCCTGGCGCCCAATTTCGCACTAGCAACCGTGATGACACCTCCACGATTAGTGTATAGACGGCCACAGAGGGGCACCTGAATGTGTCCAGTGGAGCCATTCTCTGCTAAAATTCAGAGCCAGAGATTCAGACTCCACTGTTGCTAATCCAGAGTAACTCCACTGACTTTAGCGAAGTCACTCCAGATTGACACCATTGTCACTGAGAGCAGAATTTGAACCTGAAGGCTGTTTTTCTGAGGGGCTAGCTGGCTCACATGATTAATGATGATCATAGAGCTGTTACTCCCCAGAGTGCCAGCTGGAATCCAGACTGGGTCTCTATCTGGCTAGAAGTTGTTACCATCTGATGGATGTCTCCAATGGCCTCTGTATGGGATGGGTTTGGTGAATCTCAACCCATTTTCCACTGAGCAAGGGTCTACATCACCAAAACCACGCTCCTGACTGGCTGTCGTGCTGACAGACTCAGCAGAGAGGTCAAGGACACATGGGCCACCAAGACCGAACTGCCCTCTCTCCCACAGAGCGGGGTTCCTCCTCGTCAGGGTTGGGGCACATTAGCACTGGCACTTTTGCTGCCCATGCTGTGGGGCAAGCACCTGTTGATCTTTAAGGTTGTTCAGTGTAGGCAGCTCCCTGGGACTGCACTGGGCATTGTGGGTGCTCAGCACCTCCCAGGATCAGGCCTAAGGGAAGCGCTTTGTTCTCCATTGCTGCTAATCCAGGAGATTTCACTAATACTAAATGCATTCAGTGTGAAAGCTCTTCTTCTCCATGCCAGCAGGCACTCCTGTGTCTAACATGCTGGTCATTCCACTGGGTCCCCCGAGAAGAATTCCCTGCTCCTTACGATCTCCAGGTGGGCACTGGTCATGTGATGCCAGACCCTTCTTCACTATTTAGCTGTTTTTGTTTCATCTGGCACCAACAGCAGTGACTTTTAATGGGGGCCTGTCACAGGGACAAGTCTTGGGCAAAAGCACAGAGCTCAAGTGAACTGAGGGGCAGAGAGATTAGGTATCACGCCCCAGCCTCACTGCAAATCAGTGGCAGGACTAAGATAAAACCCCAGAATCCTGAGCCCCATCCTGCTGCTCAAGCCATTAGCTCCGTAGTTGCCCCAATTTAATTGGTCCCCAGTTTAAGGAATGACATAAGGTTTAAAAATGCCAGGTTACCACTGTAATTATTCTTTTTGTTTCCTCAGATGGCAAGTTTCTTTGTAGCGCTGGTGGTTATGATAACCATGCTGGCTTTGGGAATCTACCTCAACCCCCTTCCAAAGGTAAAACCACATGCAACCAGGAGGGCCATGGAGGGCGGAGGGAATGTAAGTAGGGACACCACGGGGTATAACAAACCTGCTCCAGTTCCTGTGTCATCTATGTCCAGCCAAACCAGGTCAGCCTTCCTTGCTGTTTGTAAATCAAAGAGCCACCAGATGAAGCTGCACGTAGCTCTAATAAACAACGCTCCTCTCCCCACTCCTCATCCCCATCCCATGAAACTCACTTGATCTGGGGTTTTCTCAAAACCAGGTCCACTGAGTGAATCTGGATCAAGTGTCAAGAGAACCTGAGCTAATTCCTGGTTTCAGCACAAAAACTAGTGAAAGGCTTGGAGTGAACTTGGAGTTTAGAAATTGGGTTTATTAAAACTTGAAACCCAGAGGGAGCAAAGTGATGGGATTGGGACAGTGCTTAATTTGTGCCAGGGCTTGGCAGGTCAGAGGCCCCGGCGCCTCTGGGCTCGCTGCATCAGTTATGAATGTAAAAAAATTGTTCGAGTCCCGGCACCTAATTGCTTGAGCCCCGGCACCTTTTTCATTACAAATGAAGCATTGAGTTCAGGGAAGTATTAGACCATGCTGCCTTTTTCTTCTCGTCATTTTGACTTTAATTATGTACGTCCAGGTGGGGGATGCCCTATGAATAAATTATTTACTATTGTAATTATGTGATTATTTAGTAACTAAGTATGGGCTGTGAAATCTGGCCCAAAGTTCCCCAAACATCTGGGGTTTTGGATTCAGGGTGTTGGTTTGGTCCATTTATTTAGACTGAAGCCAAGCTGCTCTAGTGTTGGGTGTGTTCAGAACCAGGTATTTGGTTTAGGCCTGTCTCTAATAATGACACTTAGCTGGTGTTAATTATTTATAATTAGCTGTACTACAGTAGCACCTACCAGCCCTAATCATGTACTGGGATTCCCCTGTGCTAGGCGCTGTACAAATACAGAACAAAAAGATGGTCCCTGGCCTCTGCATAAAGCCCAGGTAAACAGAGCCACCACATAGCATAGTTTCATATTGTGAAGGGGCCACATCCACACTGATTCTCTGGCAGACGAAAGGGAACTGGTGGGGATAAAACAAATTATTTTGGATCCAGATTCAAGTATGATCTTCGTTAGCTTCATCACCCATTGCTAATCCCTCTTGGCAGCCAGACCTGACAGCAGGCAATATTTGTAACAAGCAGTTTCCCCTTGAGCAATAACACTTTCATGATTCCTGTCTTGGAGTCTAATTTGATACCGTCTCCTTGGCAGGCTGTGCTGGGAGCCCTGATAGCAGTGAACCTGAAAAACTCCCTCAAGCAGCTGGCTGATCCCTTCTACCTGTGGAAGAAAAGCAAGCTGGACTGTGTGAGTCCCCCACCGCGAGAGTCCTGGGGGAGAAGGAGCAGAATCTGATGACGTTTTTCAATAGGAGTGAAACTCACCCCTGCGTGGTGGGGCAGCCCAAGACATAGGCACCACCACTTGAGCCCTCAAAGCAGGGCTTAGATAGGACTCAAATAGTGCATAGGCCTCATGCTGGCCACATGCAGAAGGGTGAGTTTCACCCTATAAGCACAATAACGCCTCCAATTCAGTGCTAGTCGGCGTTTAGCTTGATGATCACAAGTAAGGTGCAATGTCGAATTTGTCTGGTCTAGTCGAGCCCTGTCGCACTTAATGCATCTAATGCAGAGATCTGAACTATTACTTGCCCTATTTAAATGCCAATCAACCTTAAGAGCCTGTTTGTCAAGAACAAGCCAAACCGGCCCTACTCAATATCTCCGAGTCATGACTTAAAAACTCAGCCAATAGCCCTCCAGGGGAAGGAGAGGCCATCATGAAAGATAAGGATCCCAGGCACTGGTTGACATATAAACCCAATCTGAGAGCATGGGGGAGACAGAAAGGAATTTGGAAATGTCTGACATTTAAAGATTTTGTTTGAACAGGACTTATGCTGGTGGGTGGTATCTGTGCAAACTGGGCCAGAATAGCCTGCCAAATCCCAAGGAAGCTGCTTTATCAGAGAAACAAGGAATCCAAAAGGACTCACTTGAGCTTTCCTAAAATACTGTTCAAACAGGTGCTGGAGAGGAGATGGGTGATGATTCCAGGCAGGGTCTTTTAAAGCAGTGTGAATAGTTCAATCCATCACATGAATGCACCACGTAACAACACACTAGCAAAGGCTCTGAGCTACAAAGGGCCGATCTATATTTCAAAGCAGTCCCAGAATACCTACGGGTTAGGAGTGTGCCTAACAGTTAGTTCGACCTAGCCACATGGCTCAGGTCTGTGATGCAGCTGTAGAATTCTTTTGTCAATCTAGCTACCACCTCTCAAGTGGATTTACTGCAGTGAGGGAAAAACCCCTTCCATCATGGTAGTAACTGTCTACACTATGGTGCTGCATCTGTGCCACTGCGGCACTTGTAGCGTAGACATATTCATAGTTATTCCAGTAAAAGCCCTAGTCTGGATGCAGTTCTATTGGCATAAAGGTGCCTTATACCTGTATGGCTTATTTAAATGCCTGAACTGAAATAAGCTATATGCGTATAAGCACTTTTTTATACTGGTATAATTGCACCCACACTATGGCATAGTTAAAACAACAAAACCTTTAAGCATAGACAAGCCCAAACTCTCTGTCTTGACTAGTCAAAAAGGTACGTTTCTAAACTAAGTGAACTCACCTGACTTGAAACACCACTTTAGTAGCTAGTTTAGACACAGTTTAACTCTTTTAAAATGGTGCCCGCTGGTTTTGCTGTAGCCTAGAGGAGAGCCTAAAGATTTGTCTTGACTACTAAAAGTATTTGAGTTTAGGTTGGGCTTAGACAACTTGTTCACTGAACTCAATCTAAACCAGACCACTTTTCCTAGTCAAGACAAACTCGAGTCCTATTACCTAACCCAATTTTAAAAACACCTGTTTTCACCTTAGTCCAGACAGACCCAAAGTTTGGATCCATCTGTGATCGTCCATAAAGTTCAAGAGGCTTGGATCCAATTTTTGAGTTCAGATCCATCTTACTGACATAAGTCCAAGCTGTGCCGTCTTTTGGATCAGATAATAAAGCAGGGCTCTGGTCACCTGTGGTCAAGAAAAATTGCACTACCCTTTTTTGTAACTCAAGGGGTGTTGATCCCAGTATCCTGGCCAAATTTCAGTTAGGTTAATTGCATTCTGCTGACCTAAATTTTCCCTGGAATTTCAATTGGATACAGTGACCTTCTCCACTTCCTGTCCTAAACTGTTGTCATGACATTGCTATGTGATATCAGATGGCTGTAATGCTTCACCTCAGAGCTGGCTGCATGGATCACTCTTCAGGTATCACATAGTTTATAAAGGGCTTATGAGGAGGGGAAGTCACTGATCAAATGAAAGGTTTTGGTTCTGCTTCTCTCTTCTCTCTTATACCAGAGTAAATCTGGGATTTGAATTCAGTGGCGTTACCCCCTGGTGTGAATGAAATCAGAATCAGGCCAATTACTCTTGTGGGTGGGATGAGGATTCTAAAACGCTTCTCAAAGGGCATTGCTTCTGCATCAGTTACATATCTAGGTCTTTTATACCAACTGTTAAAAAATGTTTTCAAGTAGATGCACATCTCTACTAAAAGACTTAGCCGCAGCAGGGGCTTTCAGAAAGGCGTGACTTAGCAGCAAAAGTCCTGTCTTGACTAGTGAAACTGAGTGAGCTAGTCTGGGTATTGAAGGGTATCTGAAGTATTGTACAAATGGACTGACACCTTGCTAAAGCTGAGGAACTTGAGTTTATGGCACTTGTGCCTCAGTTTCCCAAGAACAGACACTGCACATGAAAACTTTTCTTGTGCACCAAACAGCAATTTACAAGTAGAAAAAGGTCTAAGCTGCAAAATTTAGATTTAGGTTTTTTTAATCCCCAAGCCATAGGTAGTTTGGTTCTGGTCCATCTGTCCTTGCCAACGCTTCATCAGAGTGCCCACTGCCTGTGGCACAGAGAAGTGACCTGCCATTCTCGTCTTTCCACAGTTGGTCTGGGTGGTGAGTTTCCTGTCGGCTTTCTTCTTGGGCCTGCCGTTCGGACTCGCTGTCGGAGTGGGATTTTCTGTGCTGGTGGTGGTTTTCCACACTCAGTTGTAAGTAGCATCTTGGTGCCAAGCTGCAATATGGCCACGCAACTGCAGAACATTTTCCAGTTACAAAACAACCTGGGGGTTCTTTGTATCAATGGCCTTCGAGCTAGATTTTCAAAGGAGGATCTGACAGGAGGCCCTGGGAAAATGCAGGCTCCAAACCCTCCCATCTCAATGTGCAAACAGGAATGTCAGTTGTTAATTACTACCTGGTTTTTATTTCTGTGCACAGTAACTCAGGTGCCTACTCCAAAGCGGGTGTATTTACCCGCTGCTATTTATCCTGCCCAGAAAAACACCAGCTCCATGTGTCCTTCCCTAAGGAATCCACTGCTCATAAAGGGTGAAATCCACCCCGTGCAGAGCCTGGCACAAAGCCTATGTGCTACTTACTCCCCTCAGCATAGGCCTTAACTGGCGCATAGGCCTCCAGCTGGCCCTCTGCACAGGGGAGAATTTCAGCCAAAGAACAGAGCAGCCTTGTGAATTAACCTTGCTCTCACCAGCACCAAACACACTGAGGCACCCAGTCTTGCGTGTGCCTCTAGGTGTTACCATAATATAAATAAACAATAATCCTCGTATGCTGCACACTTGCATGACAGCAAGAGAAGCAGCATTTTTCTTCCCCGTCTTAAATTGAATCTATCTGTTGTATTTTTCCCCCCTAGTCGTAACGGCTCTGCCCTGGGTCAGGTAACTTCCACCGACATTTACAAGAACCCCAAAACCTACAATAAGGTAAGTGTGGAAGCTAAAATCTCCCAACCAAAAATGCAAGCGCCCTTTTTCTCATTCCTGCATGACCTGACCAATAAGTGATTCAAAGGGGCTGTAGGCTGTGTTACTTTCTCTCCTGATTCAGCTCAGCTTGTTATTTTCAGAAGCCATAACAGTAGACCTGCTCCTTCTGGTGGAGGCCTTTGTGATCATTTACTACCTGTCGGTCTCATTTTAAGCAGAAGGCCCCCAGATTTTCCACCCGTCTGCCCCACCTGCAGGGCTGGTTCATTGGCTACATTATTACTCCATGGTAAAGCAGAGGGAGCTGGCAGTTGTGTCTAGAGTTGTGCAAATAACTGATTTTTCAGTTCACTGGCAATTCCCAGAAATAATTGCTTTGGGTCGAGCAAAACGTTTCCTTTCTATTTTGTCCATTTTTAAACGTTTTTGATTTGTAATAAAAACTTAAAGAAATTTTGAAACAAAAAGTCATTTGGAGTCAAAAAAATTAAAACATTTTGTTTCAAAAATGTCAACATGAAATGTTTTTATTTTTTACTGATTTTTTTGTTTTAAGTTTTTTTTTTTTTCAGCCAAAACAATTTGGCAAAACGGACATGAATTTGTGAAACGTTTTGGTGTCGCCGAATCTGGATTTATCACCAAAAAAAGTCTCAGGCAAAAATTTTCACCCAGCTCTAGTTGTGTTCCCCACAGATAAGCACTTATTGAAGGTTACCTGAGATTTCTTTGCCAGATCTATTCACCCCACCTGTATTTTCTCTTGTTGCAAAAACCCCAAACCCCACAAGCCCATGCAAAGGCTTGAGTTGTTGTGCATAGTCTGAACTCTGATGTCTGTTGCAGGTCCAGGAACTTGATGGGATTAAAATTGTGACCTACTGCTCCCCATTGTACTTTGCCAACTCAGAGATATTCAGTGAGAAGGTTATAGCGAAGGTAAGAAAACCTTAGCCAGCTTCTGTTTGCAGAGATGATGGAAAGCACAAATTGGTTTCAAAAGTATGTGGCTCTCAGCCTCCGATCTGACTGCCCAAAGCCAGCACGGCCTGGGAGCACCGTGGGAGACTGTGTGTTCAGTTTCTGAGGGCAGAGATCATTTCTCATGTCACTCACCTTAGCTAGGAAGGGAGCTCAGCTGAGGCCTCAGCTGATAAGGAGCATTGCAGAGTGCGGTCGACAGCAGACCACCTCCCAGCATAGCAACATGGCCTCTATTTTCCAGCTTAGCTGTCCAATCATGTCACAAACACCCAGGAGTTTTAATTAATGTTTCCCCTGCATGGGCCTGCTTTATTAAGTCCTTCGGGTTCCATAACATAAGCAATTCATTTGCCTTCTCAGGTACCAGCAGTTCCTTTCCCAATCAGCAGGGTTTCATAAATAATCCCTTCTACCCTTCCAGGGCGTAGTCCTTTTCTTCCCTGGTCAGTGGTTCTCTCTACAGCCCTCCTCTGATGCACCCTCCTGGCTGCTGTCATGTGACTTTTGGTCACCTGACTCAGACACAGCTAGTGTGCCAGCTGCAATGTAATCCCACTGTTACTATCGCATCTCATGTACCACATGCTGGGTAATAACATGAGATGATTCCATGTTAAACTAAACCGGCTCTTTATTAAAACAACTATTGCCAGAGGTGCTGCAATGGCCGCTAGCATACCAGCCATGTGCACACAGACTGACTTCCCGGTGCCTCCTCCAAACTCTTCCCTCCTCCTGCAACCTGTGCTCCTCCATCCAAGTTTTGTGCAGGTCGCTACAAGAGCTTGGGTCTTTAGCCGCTCAGGGTATGTCTACACTGCAGCAGGACTCAAGCTAGCACACTAAAAATAGCAGTGTGAACATAGCAGCTGAGGCAGAGATTCACCCTGAAATGGGGAGTATGTAAGCTGGGGGCACAATCGCTTCCATTCCAGCCCCTCTAGTCCTGCTGCCTTCATATTCTGTGCTCCTGAGAAGGGAAGTGTTGTTGGACCATGGGCCAGCATGAGCAGTGGTCCGTTTCTGTTTCTCATATATGGGTACGAGGCTCTTGAGCTCACGTCACTGACAGATGAGCTACATAAGCAAACCCAACTCACTATCTCTCCTTCTCCGCAGACTGGGGTAGACCCCAGCAAAGTGTACTTAGCCAGGAAAAAATACGTGAAACACCAGGAGAAGAAGGCGGCATCACAAAAAACAACGAAGCTGCAAAAATTGTTCTTCGGGAACAAGAAGGTAACTCGCTCTGGGTTCCTTTGATTGCTGTATAACCCCACAGACGTCCAGATGTTCAAACTCCCCAGGGTGCTTCCCCCTTCCCTCTCTTACCTATAGCGCATGCTACAGTGACCTACACAAAGGGCCAAACCACGCTCACACCAAACTCAGGGGCAAAAGTCCCATTGAGTTCGGTAGGAGCAGGATTCAGCTCAATTTGCCCAGAGTGTCTAGTTCAGGAATGACCAGCCTGGGAGCCCATAGCTTGTAGCTGCAAGGAAAGATCACCCATTAGTGATCTGGTCTCCTCTTCATGTTGTGGCTAGTGAATCCAAAATGACATCTGTGATGGAAGGGGGCGAATATGGGCACAGTGTATCCAGTCTTGATTATTAAAATGTATGTGAATATATATGCAAAGTAGATATAGCCCTGAGGAATTTTTTGGCAAGTTGTCGAAGTGGCCTCCCGTGTTTGAACACAGCTGGCCAAGGTAATTGGTACCTGGGAAGACAACTTAGAGGATCCAGGAAGCAGAGGCTGTATCAGCCCTGGCTGTGCCTCCACATTGTTCTCCTCCTGACTGGATCCTGAGGGCTTTCTCCATCTCACCCCTTGGCTGCTCTTTTCCTGGTCAGGGAAGCTGTCGAATGTCCTGTTGCCTGCTGGGTACCTTAAATGCCCAGCCAAGGGTAACGAATGGGCCAAGTGGGAGTGGGGGGGGGGCTTGGTGGCCAGAATGCAGCTTGCAGTTTGAGACGTTGACGATGTTTGACAAACTGGCTGATCCTTTGGGCGCAGGCAAAAAGCAGCTTGCGCCTGCTGTAACACCACTGAACTGTACAGAGTAATGCCAGCAATGAAACTGGCCTGATGGATGTCTTTCTAAAATACATGCTGTAGCTCACCTGCAAAATTTGGGCTGGATGCTGGCCTCATGAGGTAGGTCAAGAGCACTGATAATCGCATCCTGACCTGGTTGCCTTTGTTTGACTGCAGACCTTGTCAGTGCAAGAGCTCCAGAAAGATTTTGAAACCACCTCTCCGACGGACACCAACAATAATCAAACGACTGCCAACGGCACCAGCATCTCCTACATCACATTCCGCCCCCTCGCAAACAATGCTGGGCAGGTCAATACCTCAAGTGAACAGGGCAGCATCTCGAGCCATCGGGGCAGCACTTGCAGTGTTATCCCAGCTGCCAACGTTGACCCGATGATCACAGCACCGCCCTATGTCAGCTTCCACACCATTATCCTGGACATGAGTGGAGTGTGCTTCGTGGATCTGATGGGCACAAAAGCTCTGGGGAAGGTTAGTTCTCTGCCACTAATTCAGCATGTGAATCCTTGGACAAGTCACTTCTTTGCAACTCTGTTTCCCTTCCATGCAATGGGAATAAAGATACTTCTTCTTCAAGTGATGGTCCCTATTGTATTCCACTGTGGGTTTACACGGGTGCACCATGCTCCCGGAGCCAGTGAGAAGGAATACAGTGGAATACAGATAGGGACCACACATCCTGAAGAACCTCCAGTTACAGGTCAGTAACTTCCTCTTATCTTCCTCACTTGCAGCTTGTGAGGGTGTATGAATTCGCATCTGCAAAGTGGGTTCAGATCCTTGGATTAAAGGCCTTATATAAGTCCAAAGCATTTCTAAATATTATTATTGTTTCTTATCCTCTCTCTCCATCTTCCCGTCCAGCTGTGTTCCAGCTACCAGAAGATCGGGATTAAAGTCTTCCTGGCAAACGTGCATGGTAAGCATCCAAGCATAGCATATTTCTTTGTGCTCTTTCCCCCATTTCTCAGACACAGGCGTAGTGGTGATATATTTCTTATATTGAATCAATGGAAAGGGTGGGAGGAAACTGCAGAGAACCTAAGAAGTTTTCAGTTATCTAGTCCTCTTCTGTGACTAATGCAGGATTGTTCCCTACAGTATATTCCCCAGTGCTACTATGAAATCTCCGAAGTGATGAGGTTTCCGTCACATGCCACTTCATGCTGATTATTTTAGGAAGCGGGATTTCATAGCTCAGGGCCATTGAGAATAAAGCAAGCTTGTAGCAAGAAGAAAGGGTTTACAGAGCTATTTCATTACACAAAGCCAAAATGAAAAGGGGGATGGTTTTCTTTGTGATTGAGGCTTTTGGATATGTTTTCCGCTTGAAAACATTTATTTCAGGCCCCGTTGTGTTCTCTTTGGAGCTTAACAGCTGTGGCTAATGGTTATAAACATGCAAGTTTATCGGCCCACCATAGGACAGGATTATACTTAGACTTTCCTGGGCTTCGTTGTTCTCCATAATAATGTGTAATTGACATGTCAGAGAAAATCAGAACAGATGGACGGAAGAAAGGAGGGGGAATGTAGACTGGAAAAAGTCTGCGCTTGGTGTGTATAAATGTAAGCATCTTATCTGGGATTGGATATAGCTGTAGTACCATAGTTTGCACCTATAAGAATACATATATATGCAGTAAATCTGTCTCTCCTCACCCTTCCTTTCTCTCTTCCAACCACCCTGCCTGCACTATTGACCTGTCTCACCCCAGGACAAAAATTCTGCCAGAATCCTCCCCATCCCCAAATCATGGAAAACTGCCTGTCCCAGTCAGATCCTTCTCCACTGCTGCCCCCGTGAACCACTGAAAACCCTCCCTGGGATGCCAGTGCAATCACCTTCCTCCTGCTCAGCCCAACAAACCATCTTATTTCAGTCACGAACTCAGAAACCAACCACAGCACAGAACGTAGGACAAAATTCGGCCCTCATTTACACACCTGCAAGCGCATCAACAGCAGCGGGCCCTCTGGCTTTAAATGAGACGCCAGTAATGCACAGGCTTTGTGCAGGCGCTCTGCTCTGCCTACGGGAGAATTCCCAACCATTTCCTTTCTGATCTGGTAAGCGTCTGCCCACCGGGATTGCTACAGGTTCAGGAACTCTCCATCAGCCCCATTTACTTTCAAACAGCTCCTCCTTCAGTCTTTCTCTTTGCTCATAGCGTCTTTTCCCCTTCTGCAGCCCAGGTGTACCATGATATTAGCACAGGCGGAGTCTTCGAAGAAGGGGGCCTAGACCCAAGTCACATCTTCTTGACCATCCACGATGCTGTTCTGTTTGCACTGGCAAATGCCAAAGGAGTCTTCCGTCCTCCCGGTTTAGAAGAGGTACGCCTTGGGCTTTCCACCAGGTTGCAGAACCGCAGGGCTGCATTCTGCCCTCAGCTACACGCATGCACTACCCATGAGAGGATAAGAACCTACTACTGTTATTCCATTAGCTCAGTGGTTCTCAAACGTTTGTACTGGTGACCCCTTTCACATTGCAAGCCTCTGAGGGTGACCCACCTTATAAATCAAAAACGCTCTTAAATATATTTAACACCATTATAAATGCTGGAGGCAAAATGGGGTTTGGGGTGGATGCTGACAGCTCGCGACCCCCCGTGTAATAACTTCGCATCCCCCTGAGGGGTCCCGACCCCCAGTTTGAGAACCCCTGCATTAGCTCAAGTGGCAGAGGCCCAAGTGTATAGACCAGACATCCAGATGGGGGTCACTGTCCAACCCTGTTGAAGTCAAAAGCATTGCACAGGTGTAACTGGGAGCAGGATTTTGCTCATAATTTGATTACCAATGGGGAGCCATAGATGCAAACAAGGGCAGAGATCAGTCCATAGAAACTAGAGGCAGAACACGTCCCCCTCTACTGGATGAGACTACCAGTGGGAGGGGCAAGGAAAGTGACATGCAGCAATGTGGCACGTGCTGTAAATACAGGGGTGACATAGGTTATTTAGTAAGATACCAGCTGGTTATTGCATAGTAACTCGAATGGAAACAATGGCCAGGCTGCCGAGTTTATCTCATGATAACGTGTTAAAACATCCAGACTTGCCACTATGCGTGTGCGCAAACAGCAGCTCAGCCAGGGGAAATATGCTACTGAGAGACATTCCTCTTTGGAAACCCTGCTTCCCTTTGGGCCCTTCTCCCAGTGTATTTCTACCACCACTGGAGGGTTGGGGGGGAGTGGGTGAGGCAGCATTTCTAAAGAGCAGCAGAGGCACTGTAGGACTCTATGGCAGCCTGGAAGGAAGAAGAAGAATTATTATGATTACCCTCTCACTGTCCTCTCACTGTCAATCACCACATACCCCCTTTCTGATCACCCACATATTATTTACATTGCAGTAGCTGTTAGAGACCTAGGTGCTGTATACACACACCAGGGCCGGCTCTAGGTTTTTTGCCACCCCAAGCAAAAAAAAATTTGGCTGCCCCCCACCCGAGCCCTGGGCTCCCCCCCACACCCCACCTGCCGCCCCAGTGCTGGGCTCTCCCCCTACCCCACCCGCACCCCCTGCCGCCCCAGCGCTGGGCTCTCCCCCACTCCCACCCCACCCACCCCCACCCCCTGCCGCCCCAACCCTGGGCTCTCCCCCCCCACCCCACCCGCACCCCCTGCCACCCCAGTGCTGGGCTCTCCCCCCCACCCCACACGCACCCACTGCCACCCCAGCCCTGGGCTCCACCCCACCAGTGCTGAGTCCGCCCGCTCCCCCCTCGCCTCCAGCTGGTCCAGTGCTGGCAGGGTCAGGGTAAACAGTGGGGCTCCCGGGCCGCACCTCAGCCCAGGTTCCCTTCAGACGGGGCTCCCGCCTCCAGGACCAGCCGGGAGGGCAGGACCAGGAGGGCAGAGCCGGGGGACCGCCCGGCAGAGGGCTGAGGAGCCGGGGCAGGGCAGCCCCAGAGGGAGCGGAGCCCCAGAGAGCGGGACGCAGGCCCCACACGGCAGCGCTCCGGGCACCGGTCCCCTCTATGGCCCCGCTGCTGCTGCTGCTCCTGGTCACCCTGCCATAGTCCCTGGGTGGCACAGGCCACTTCACCCAGCCCCGGCTGCGGCACTGGGGGGCGGCCCCCTGCTGCACCTGCAGGCGGCTCCGTGTGCCCCGCGGGGCGGCCCCCAGCCCAAGTGTCCCACGCTCGGAGCCCGCCCGGCCATAAGGTGCAGGCGCTGCTCCCCGATGCAAACCGCAGTGGCCCCAGGGCGCCCCCCGTGCAGGACGCGCTGCCAGGGCCGGCTCTAGGCTTTTGCCTCCCCAAGCAAAAAAAAAAAAAAAGGATAGCTGGAATGCCACCCCTGAAAATGTGCTGCCCCAAGCACATGCTTGGTTTGCTGGTGCCTGGAGCCGGCCCTGATACACACATACTAAGAGACAGTCCCTGCCCCAAAGAGCTAGCAACCTAAATAGACAGGCAGACACAGGGTTGGAGGGGAAACAAAGGCACAGAGAGATGAAGTGATATGGGCACGGCAACATGGCAGAAAGAGAACTCAGGCCTCCTGAATCCCAGTCTAGTGCACTATCCACTAGTTTATGCTGTCTCCCGAAAAACACAAAAATGGTGTGCTTTTTTAGCTCCCAGCACAAGGACAAAACCTTCCTAAAACAACATATGCAACTGACTCATGGCCCGTGCACTAATGAGGCATTCAGTGAGTGCACACAATATGTGCACCTTACACCCCAAGGGGAGTAGCAGGAAAAGTAACCAATAGGATGGGGTATGCTCAAGGGAGTGGGGGTTGGAGAGTCTTATAGGGTGACCATACGTCCAGTTTTGGCTGGGACAGTTCCTTTTTTAAGCCCTGTCCCAGTCGTCCTGACTTTTTTTTCCAAAAGGAGGAATTTGTCCCATTTGCTCTTGCTGACTTGATCAGTTGGCAAGAACAAACAGGACAAAGGCCCACTTTTGTCAAAAAAGTGGGGTGCGAAGGAATGTGCGGGGGGGAGGGGGCAAGGGGCGATGCCAGCCTTGCGCAGGGGGGGAGGCAGAGCTTGCACAAGCAATGACAGCCTTGTGCAGTGACAGCCTCGTGTGAGGGTCAGGGAGGGCTTGGGGCGATGTCCCAGGGAACCACGGGGCAGCTGGAATTTTAAGTATAGCATCTGCAGTGCTGATGAGGGCATCACAGATAGACACGGAGCTGTGCAATCATTTGTTTTGTTCTTCTCCTGGTGAAGGAGAGGCAATCAGACACCACAGTGACGAACGCTTGTATGTGAACCAACACAGACAGCGTGACGCACACAGCTTTAAGTGACCGCTTCTGAACACCAGTCTTGCAGTTCACTATTCCCTGAACAAGTGAACTGTGGTCTGACCTCTCCCTTGCCTACACTGTAACTACCTGTTCACAGCCATGGGCTGCTCCCAGCCCACTTATTTGCATTGCTACACCTGATAAAACTTCTGCAGCCCCAACCTTGGGCTGATATTAGGAAAGACCTTATCACTGCCGCACAGCAATTATTTGCTTTTTAAGAGATTTGCTGAAGGTGAAACCGCCTGGCTACCACTGAGATTTAGGACAAGGAAACAACTGACTCTTTTTTAGTTTTGTTTGTTGAATCTAAATGTTGGGACGGGCGGTGGGTGTCTTTCAGGGTCCCTGTTAACTCAGTTGGGCCCCAGATTCCAGTTACTGTACTTTAAAGAGGTAGTTTCACACTGGAACAAATATATATATATTTTTTTTTCACAAAGAAGATCCAAAAGGCAATAGGTCTGATTCTCATTTGCATTGCCTCTTTATATCACTTTCACAGCCAAAAGGGGCCACGAAGTGGCTGTGAAGGTAAATGTAATGCCAGAGTGGTGTAGTTCAGCCCTAGTGTAAATGCAAATCAGCACCAATGCACTTGCTCAATCATTTTCTGTATCCACTTTACTGGTTTTGGGTCTGATGTTTTGGTCCAGGCCCATGTCGAAGAATAATTTGTGCTTCCAAACTATATAGGGCAACTTCATAGGCTGTTCACGGGTTAGCTACAGTTTTATCCCTTTTGGTCCTGTGCCTGCTAATAATTGATTTTGACTTCTTCCCATGCAGAGACCAAGTCAGACAGAGCTCTCCATCTATGACGAATCTGTGGATGAAAGCAGTGCAGAATTCAAGAACTTGGAGGAGGTGAGTAATAGGACCAGGAATCACTTTGTATTGTGGTAGCACCCAGCTGCCCCAACTAAGACTGATGCCCCATTATGCTGGGAGCTGTACATACACATAATAAGCCCCTGCCCCGTAGAGCTTAGAACCACTATAGATGAGATGGACCAAGGGTGGGTGAGAGGGGGAGGTGTTATGCAGTTTGCAGATGGGAGGCTGAGGCACAGAGTGAGGAAGTGAGTGGCCCGAGGTCACACAAGGAGGTCAGTCTGTGGCAGCAGCAGGAACTGAGCCTGCATCTCCTGACTCCCGGTCTAGTGCCTTAACAATAAGACCGTCCTTCCTCTCATGAGAGACTCATTCATCTTTTGCTGCTGTATCTGCTGCCTTTTATCTGTCATGTGCCTGGAGGCTGGTGGGCTATCAGTCCTCATGCTTAAATGCAGAAGCTTGGGGGGTGGGGTGAGGACCGGAAGAAACCCTCACCCTCCGTGGTATGGTATTTCACACTGTGGTGGATGGTTTATGTCTTCCTCTGAAACATCGGGCACGGGCCAGTGTCACAGGATACCGGGTTAGAGGGGCTGTTGGTTGATTCCAGTAGAGGAACTCCTGGGTTCATATTAGAGATGGGCCTGTGCCACAAAGTTCAGGTCCTGAAGGCCTCCAAAGTTTGGAGAGTGTGGAGCATGAGGCCTATCACTAGATCTTGGTCCAAGCACTCAGCTGGTATAGATCAGCGTAGCTCCATTGACTTTTATGGGGGCTACACTGTTTCTATCCGCTGAGAGTCTAGCTCGAGAAAGACAGTCATTGGAAAATTGACCCTTTCAGCCTATTAGGGAACAATGCAAAGGAAACCCTAGAAACCAGGCAGCCACAATGCCAATAACCTTCCTGAGCTTTACCCCTCAAAAGGAAATGAAGAAGGTGTAATGCTGGGTAGAGATGTGGAGATCAAGTGTAGTGGCTGTGTGGTTGGACACCAACATGTGTAAATCGCTGGTACCGTTCTAACCAAACCCATCTTGTTGTCCCTTTAGGAGATGTTTGGAACCATGTTCCGTTCGGAGGCCCAGACAGCGCTGTGAGTGCCTGGGGGAATGTTAAAGTGCCGGCAAAGCCTCCGGAACTGACTATTCTCACATATTCCTTTATGAAGACGCTTCCCCTGTGTGAGTGGTGCGCAGAGCAGCCTTTCTGTGCTTCCAACCCGGGGTAGCAGTGAGTTTGCGAGGCAAGGGGCAGTCACACCTCTCCTCCTGACATCCTCTCTCCTCCTTCCCTCTGTGTGTGGAATTCAGAGCAACAGACTCTTGGAGCAGGTAGCAGAACACAACAGAAGCAGGAACTCAGGAAAAAACGTTCATCTAGGTGTAGAAGAGCAGCAACTTCATTTAATGGCAAGTGCCTTCAGGCAGAAGGATTATTAATATTCATCATCGTTGTCAACCCTATCTCTGTCTCTCCTCCTCCAGAACCCACTCACATACCCAGTCATGTGGATTGCATAACCTAGGCATCACCTTTATTTTCCTTCCTTTTTCCAATGAGGTGAAATATAAGGAAATTTACAAGCCTTTCCTGGCTTTAATTCACAACCACAAATAACCCTCTCAAGATGCAGTGACGCAGGTTTGCATGGTGATAATATTTTAAAATGTGCACTGACTTTTTGGGAATCTGCACACTGAATTTAAGCCTGTGAATTTCTTCGGGTTGCCGCCCAAAACCACCTCTGTATTCTCTATTACCCTACAGGTCCTCCTGCGCTGTCCTGTCTATTACAGGTACCATTTACTGAGCCAGTGCTCTATTTTTGTTACTCTAAAATCCTTGGTACCACTGCATGGGAGTAATGCTGCATTCTGTATTACATGCTCAGACCATTTTTGGATATCAGGCACCCTTAGTTCACATGACCAAGAGCTCCTATCAGCTCTAGTGGGTGTTATATGCACACACTGGCCTTCCCAATAGTTTGGGTAGTTAAAACAGGGCCGCCCAGAGGATTCAGGGGGCCTGGGGCAAAGCAATTTCGGGGGCCCCTTCCATAAAAAAAGTTGGAATACTATATTCTCGTGGGGGCCTCTGCGGGGCCCGGGGCCTGGGGCAAATTGCCCCACTTGCCCCCTACCTGGGTGGCCCTGAGTTAAAATAAAGTTTATTCAAAACACCAGCAGAATTAGGGCCTGATTCAGAGCCCATTGAAGTCAAGGAGAATCTTGCCTTTTACTTTAACAGGATTTGGGTCAGGCCTTTAGTCTGGGAATATCACGAGAGCAGCTATTCCTGTGGTATTTTGATGCTCCCTTTTCCTATTCTCAGTATCTGGACATTACTAAAAAGTTCAGTTTAGATTCAGCTCTAGAAATAGGTAAGTGTTTCAGGGTGAGCGGGTTTTCCTAACCAGTTTGCCCATCCCTAGCAAATTCAGGGACAGCTCAGTGCATACATCCAATGGTTTTTGATGACGCTATAACTCAGGAGCAGTATCATTAAAGTTTGAGCATATTTTGGGTATGCCAGGAGTCAGCAGCTCTTGTGATACCCAGCACTAACCTCTCCAAACTTGGAGCTTCAAGGTGAAGAGATTTTAGGTAATCACCTAAGTGACAATAGAAAGCTCGTCTGCTGGGTCTGCTATGGTGTCTGGTGCCTCATGCGCTATATGAATTTGAATAAAAATCACCACAAACTGATGCTACCAGGACAATCTACCTCTCGGGCAAACAAGCCTGACTCGATAACCCATAGACAGATGAGATCTTTTTAATTTTTTTTTTAAATCCTAATACTTTTATATATAAAAGTGTGAGTGATGCTAATAACTATTGCTATTTTAGTTTTCTGTTATAGTTCCTTTCATCCCCATATTGATTCTCTGAAGCCTATGACTAGAGGAAATGCATTTAAAGTATATGTAAATGCTGAAAAATACAGTATGTTGAGGATTAAAGGGACACTTATTAATACATTTAGGCCTCAAATTCAGGTTTTGTGAAAAACAATTCTCCAAAAATTAAGATTAGCAGAATTTTGTCTATGATATTTTTAAAGTTCTGATTAAAAGAGTTTTTGGTCTGGATTTTAAACCTTCCCCTGTGGTGTTTCCAGCCTTGGGATAAAGCATAAGGGCCAGAAAATGAAACTGCTTAGAAGCAAATGTGAAACTGACTAGTCTGTTTTTTGGGAATGCAAAAATAAATAATGGCCTTAATAAATGCAAAGAAAATTTGCTTTTAAAAAGTTATTTCTGTTCTAATAACCTAAGATGTTAATAACACTTTTGTGTTTTACTATATGGTTTTAAATCTGTTTAATTCATAAAACAGTCTTAAACCACCCTGATAAAAGGGTCTTTGAGATAACATTATCAGGGAAAGAAAATGCAGCTGTACTGTGGCTCCCAGATAAATGATGCCCCACTTGCAATGAAAATAGAGCTGCATGACTCATCCAGGCTATGCAAACATTCCATGTTATAACATCAGAGCTTCCTGGGTTTTGTGTGGCACCTCATTAATTAAGTCACCACTGCTTTATCTCAGTCTCTGATTACATGGTGCAGGAGAAAATTATTAAACAAATAGAAGTACAGTTTTCTTTCGATGGGAGAAGAACAACACACTAAAAAAAGGTTACTTCTCATTCTGACCTTAGTGAGACAATCATAATTTTGCTGGGACTGTCATGTCCTACAAGCTAAGATCAGAACATTAATTCTTTCAAATTATCCTTCAGGCTAATGCACCATAATTAATTACTCTTGGTCTACTTCTCTGCTGCCTGAACATTCCTCCTTCTTGCTGTTTTAAATAAACAAACAGCTTGGTGCAATGGAACAAGGGACTTTTTCATTATAAGAAAAGCTCTGTGGTGACCTCACTTTGAATTAGTGATATTCCTAATTGCAATTCAGGAATCAGAGTGTGTCTGCTAAAGATTCAGTTCACAGTCCCACAGGCCTGGCAGCCAAAGTATCAGTTCAAATACAGGAAACCTCAGAGCGACAGATCCCTGTGCAAAGGATGTATTGTTTCCTTTGCAGTTCCCAGCAGCATGAAGGATGGGATGTCACGAATGATGCCATGAAAGTAGTGGCAATAATTACATACTCTGCCACCTTGAAGTCTCGGTTAGAGGGATACTTGGTTTCTGTAGCCCAGTGCCAATTCTGGTGACAAATGCAGCCCTCGGCAGCTGACAGATGGTATTTTTGAAAGCATAACTCCTGTCACCATTTTGCTACTGAGTAGCACAAATGTTTTAGATGTAGAACCCTGACAAGCCTATGGGTCCCCGAACATTAGTTTCAAAGGCGACATTCACCAATCTGAACAAAACAGAATGACAAGTTAGCATGACTTGCATTTCTCTTTCAAAGGTTCTATGTGGCCAGCTCAGAAAGCTTCATTTCCAGGGTATCTTGACCAGGGAACTAGAGAAACTCAGAAAGAGAGTCCATTGGGGTGGAAATTCTAAACTTCCAATGATCTTTGATGTCTCTGAAAGTCTAGTGATATTAATATGTAATTACTTTGAAGCCTTATTTGATACCTGCATGATGCATAACCAGCTCAAAATGTTTGTGTAATTTATTTAATTTAATATTGGTTTGGTTCTTCTTTTTTTGATAATAAACAATATGTGACTGATCATATGCTTTATCTACTGATTTGGGAGTACACTTTCCCAGAACCCTTATGCCAATTCTACTTGGTAGTATGGTGGTAGTATGCCTATAGTTAATTTATTTTACCCGTACTATCCTAGAGTTTCTGTATGCTTCTACGCCTTTGCAGAATTAATTACTCTTATAGAATCCATGCTACACAACTCTCCTATATAAATCACATGGTTATTTATCAGTAAAGGGTGCTCCTTTTTCTCAAGAGTTCTCTCATTTTAGAAATATTGTTAATGCCATAGCTGGATTTCCTAGTCTGCTGGCCCCAACAAGAGGTACACTGAAATTGCACTTAGATGAGCGTGAACTGAGTTATGTTAGAGAACAGATCTTGCCCTCCTGCTGCTAACGGCAGCAACAAACACAACACATGTAACATGACTTAGGCATACAGAATTATACACTTCTATGGTGGTGTTCACTTGCAGATCCCGTTGTGTGATTAATTAAGCTTCAAAACATCCCTAGCCAGTAGGTACGATTACCATTTTACACATGGGGATACTCAGGTGAAGTGATTTGCCTAAGGTCACAAAGGGAGTCAGCAGCAACAGACCCCAGCCCCTGGGGTGGGCCCCACACTCTGCCCGGGGCTGGGAACAGCCCCCTGCTCTGGGCACGGCACGTGAGCTGTCAAGCTTCCGGACACAGCTGTCAGGGCCAGGGAACTCCAACTCCCAGCAGGCTTTGCCGCGAAGGCCGAACGAAGCCGCCTATTGGCCAGTGTCTCTGAGGTGGCGGTTGGGGATTAGCGGGCGGCGCGCGAGGCCAGCGGAGCGGCATGGCGAAGCGGAGGGGCTGGCTGCGTGGGGAGGCCTGGGCCGTCTGCCTGGGGCTCTGCGGGGTGGCGCTGGCCCTGCTGCTGGTGCGGGCCTACGTCCTCCGCTCCCCGCCAGGCCCGCGGCTCTGGTGGCGGCGAGTCGCGCTGGGCTTCGAGCTCAGCGCCCGCGACAGGCAGGAGCTGAAGGAGGCGCTGAGAGGTGAAGGGGCCGGGACCCCTCAGAGCCCCATCCCCGGGGGAGCCCCCCGGCCCCCATGAACCCCCCCCGGCCAGCCCCCGCCCCTGGGACTCCCTGGCCCCCGGCTAACTTCCACCCCGGGGGGACCCCCAGCCAACCCCCCGGGACTCCCCAGTCCCCTCAGACTGTCCTTCTGATCTCCAGGGGAACTGCCCCTGACTAACCCCCCCGGGGATCCCCACCCCCAGACTAATTCTCCCACCAAACAACCCCTCGCCCCCAGATTAGTCCCACCAGGGATTCCCCAAACTAACCCTGCTCCCGAGAACTCATGCTGCCAGACTAAATCTTTCCACAGACCCCCCTCCCCACAGACACACACACATCAACCAGGCTAACCCCCTGGGGCCAAACCCCCATTCCCGGCAGGCTCCCACCAGCA